TCTTGCCAACTCACCCCGAGTAGCTGGGATTACAAGTATCGTGGCCACCCATCGCCAGCTGCTTAGAGACGGGGTTTCTCCATGTTGGTCAGGCTGGTCTCAAACTCCCGACCTCAGGTGATCCGCCCGCCTCGGCCTCCCAAAGTGCTGGGATTACAGGCATGATTCACGGCGTCCAGCTAATTATTGCATTTTTAAGGGGAATGAATTAGTCAGCAATACTGATTGTTTCTCCTTTGAGAAGAGCCCTGTGCTGAGTATAGACCAGGGCTTTTATCCTGGGTTTGTGAACTCCCTTGTATGCAAGATTTTGATTGAATGGTTGTATGTATAGTTTTCTGAATTGATTTTAATGTGTTAAAGAATGAGTGATATAAAGGAAGAAATAGAAGTGCCCTCAGTAAGCTTGTGTTTGAGGCTATAGAAACACAGCAGCCAAATACCTCTTGAGGAAAGTAAAGTGGAGTGCATGTGAGGGAAGGTACTGCTGAAGCACATAGAGGACCACCGCCAGGCTTCCTGTTTTCTCAGCAGTGGGAGCTTTCTCTGCCATTAACATTTTCATGGCAGTCTTTTTCTTTTCTTCTTTTTAAAATTTAATTTAATTTTTTAAAAAAATTTCTGAGACAGAGTCTTGCTCTGTCGCCCAGGCTGGAGTGCAGTGGCGTGATCTCAGCTCACTGCAACCTCCACCCCCTGGTTTCCAGCGATTATTCTGCCTCAGCCTCCCAAGTAGCTGGAATTACAGGTGCTTGCCACCACACCTGGCTAATTTTTTTGGTATTTTTAGTAGAGACGGGGTTTTAGCATGTTGGCCAGGCTGGTCTCAAACTCCTGACCTCAGGTGACCTGCCTGCCTTGGCTTCCTAAAGTACTGGAATTATAGGCGTTAGCCACCATGCCTGTCCTGGCTTTTTATTTTCTTTTCAGTGGATCTATGTCACATTTCACTGTTGGCTGGTTAGACAGAAGTAAGGTATTTACCCCTCCACTTTGTTAAATTACAGGCACTTTACTCTCAGTTACGCTTAGCAGGCTGTTCAGCTGTTTGGTCAGCTTGAACCTTGGGCTTCCAACTCTATTGCCCAGGCTGGAGTACAGTGGTACAATCACAGCTCACTGCAGTCTCTGCCTCCCAGACTCAAGTGATCCTCCCGCCTCAGATTCCCAAGTCAATGGGACTACAGGCTTGTGCCACCATGCCCGGCTAATTTTTGTATTTTTTGTAGAGATGATGTTTCACCATGTTGCCCAGGCTGGTCTTAAAGTCCTGTACCCAAGCGATCTGCCTGCCTCAGCCTCTGAAAGTGCTGGGATTGCAGGCGTGATCCCTGCCCAGCATGCAACATGCTACAACCTGTCTGTCATTTGAGACTGTTTATATTGACAGAGATTACCTCTTCAGTGGGACTGTGCTAAGATTCTTTAACTTACATAATTTCTTGACTTCTTATGACAAAGTAGGAAACCAAGTGTTTTATATCTATTCTGAGTTTATTTTCTTTTTTTTCCTTCTTTTTTTTTTTTTTTTCTTTTTGGTACAGATGGGGTTTCCTTATGTTGCCCAGGCTGGTCTCAAACTCCTGGGCTGAAGTGATCCTCCCACCTTGGCCCTACAAAATGCTGGGATCATAGGCATGAACCACTGCACCCAACCTTATTAGATTTCTAAGACAGAGTCTTGCTCTGTCGCCCAGGCTGGAGTGCAGTGGCGTGATCTCAGCTCACTGCAACCTCCGCCTCCTGGGTTCAAGCGATTCTCCTGCCTCAGCCTCCCGAGTAGAGACGGACTCTCACTTTGTCGCCAAGCTGGAGTGCAGTGACTGATCTCGGCTCACTGCAACCTTTGCCTCCTGGGGTCAAGCAATTCTTGTGCCTTAACCTCCCCAGTAGCTGGGACCATAGGCATGTACCACCACGCCCAGCAATTTTTGTATTTTTAGTAAAGACGAGGTTTCACCATGTTGGCCAGGCTGGCCTGGAACTTCTGACCTCAAGTGATGCACCCGCATTGGTCTCCCAAAGTGCTAGGATTATAGGCATGAGCCACCATGCTCATGTTAAAGAATTACTGATATAAAGGAAAAAATAGAAGTGCCCTCAGTAAGCTTGTGTTTGAGGCTATAGAAACACAGCAGCGAAATACCTCTTGAGGAAAGTGAAGTAGAGTACGTGTCAGGGAATGTGCTGCTGAAGCACATAGAGGACTGCTGCCAGGCTTCCTGTTTTCCCAGCAGTGGTAGCTTTCTCTGCCATTAACCTTTTCATGGCAGCCTTTTTCTTTTCTTTTTTTTTTTAATTTTTTTTTTTAATTTTTGAGACGGTGTCTTGCTCTGTTGCCCAGGCTGGAGTGCAGTGGCGTGATCTCAGCTCACTGCAACCTCCACCTCCTGGTTTCAAGCGATTCTCCTGCCTTGGCCTCCCGAGTAGCTGAAATTACAGGTACTCGCCACCACGTCTGGCTAATTGTATTTTTAATGGAGATGGGGGTTTAGCATGTTGGCCAGGCTGGTCTCAAATTCCTGATCTCAGGTAACCTGCCTGCCTTGGTTTCCCAAAGTGCTGGGATTACAGCACGTGTGTCTTAAAACAGTCTTTCCTCTTTCCACAATGCCATACTGCCTTCTTTGAAATCACACTCATCAGGGGATTTTTTTTTAAGGGTTGGTCATTAAGAGTTTTTCTAGAAAGGAATTGTATTCTCTTAGCCATATAGTTTTTTTTTTTTTAGACAGAGTCTCGCATTGTCGCCAGGCTGGAAAGCAGTGGCGCAATCTCTGCTCACTGCAACCTCCACCTCCCAGGTTAAAGCGATTCTCCTGTCTCAGCCTCCCAAGTAGCTGGGACTACAGGCGCACACCAGCACACCCAGCCAATTTTTGTATTTTTAAGAGAGACGGGGTTTCACCCTGTTAGCCAGGATGGTCTTGATCTCTGACCTCGTCATGCACGCGCCCTTGCCTCCCAAAGTGTTGGGATAACGGGCGTGAGCCACCACGCCTGGCCCTAATTTTTTTTTTTTTTTTAAGAATATCATTGGCAGGGCTGGGCGTGGTGGCTCACACCTGTAATCCCAGCACTTTGGGAGGCCAAGGCAGGCGGATCAGGAGGTCAGGAGATCAAGACCATCCTGGCTCACACAGTGAAATCCCATCTCTACTAAAAATATAAAAAATTAGCCGGGCGTGGTGGCGGGCGCCTGTAGTCCCAGCTACTCGGGAGGCTAAGCAGGAGAATGGCGTAAACCCGGGAGATTGGGCTTGCAGTGAGCCCAGATCACACCACTGCACTCCAGCCTGGGTGACAGAGCGACACTCCGTCTCAAAAAAAAAAAAGAATATCATTGGCAGGTTCATGATTCTTCAACTGCATTACTACTTTCAGAATTTATCTACTTATTCAGCTGTCTAGGTTAGTCAGTTTCTCCCTATGAATGTTGTTATTGCCACTGTTTTGACTAATTGTATTATTTCTACCATCATGGATTCCCTTGATCTTTTTAGGTTCACCACATAGCATTTGTAGTTTTATTTCTACCTCAATTTCTACTGCACCCGAACCCAGCCCCTGTCTTCTCTCTCTTTCTTTTTCTGAGACAGGATCTTGCTCTTTGCCCAGGCTGGGGTGTAGTGGTACAATCTTGGATCACTGCAGCCTCTGCCTCCTGGGCTCAAGTGTTTCTCATGTCACCATTCCTGGCCTGGATTAACTTGTTTAGATCATTCTTTTTTTTTTTTTTTTTTTTTTTTGTGAGACGGACGCGGTCTCTTGCTCCTGTCGCCCCAGCTGGAGTGGCAGTGGTGGATCCTCAGCTCACGCAAGCTCCCGCCTCCCCGGGGTCCACG